GCCGGTAGCCAAATTTTTGACAGCGACTACATCAGATGATGAAATTTCGAACGCTGCATGTTTTGAGATACCCATAGATGAATTCACGAATGTGGCCATATCAGATGTAGTGAAATTAGAACTGTATGATGTAATTTGACTCTCTCTCAGAGGCTCCTTCTGCTTTCGCCTGTAAAGCTGCAACATAAAACCAAATGACAAAATCAAAGAAAAGCAAGCAAAAATAACTGCAATAGGAATAACGAACGAGGAAACTTGAAGGGAATGAAGTTCATTGGCTGACTTGGTGACTTTTCTAGCCTTTCTCGGACCATTTCTTAGACTTGATCCCTCAGAAGCACCCTTCGTTTCGGGAGTGATGAGATTGTCAGGAGTGTACAAGTAGACAGCAGAATCTTCACTGCCCGAGTAAACGGAGTTATTGTAACAGAGTACAGCAGAGACGGCTTTTGTCGGACCAAAGTAAACATCTTGGTGTCTTCCGTTATCAAGGCTCCATCGGCGAATGGACATATCAGAGCCACCTGAGAATAATATACCATTGCATGTTGATAACGAAATAACAGGTCCTGAATGGCCAATAGAAGTTAAAGATTGTCTCTTCATGATGAAAACAGGATTTAAGGTCTTCAATGACCATTGAATAATCGAGCCGTCATCAGATGCAGAAAGGATTGCTTCTCCGTTAACTACAATATCGTTCACAACACCAGTGTGTTCTTTGACTTCAAACTCGAGTTTGCCGTCCTCCAAATTCCAAGCATAGACTCCCCCAGATTTGGAACCGGCTAGAAGTAGAAAGTCAGTGATTGCAAGACATTGAACCGGTATTGCTGATACTATATTTTCTGGTAAGTGTTCAGAGTTATTTTTGGAGAGGAAATGAATTTCGATATCTCTAGTAATAAAAGCAAGAAGTGAGTTCGAAGCGGCAAGACCACTGACAGAATCTGCTTGCTGGCTCATAATTGTCCACGCATTACTCGAGTCCGTCTGGTTATGCCAAACTATCAATCCATCTAAACCAGAGGTAATGAAACCATCATCAGCAGGTATCATTGAAGAAACAGCTCTTGTATGGACACTAATGAGTTTGTCATAATTTGCTGTCGTGATATCAAAAGTTGCAATGACCCCATTTCTATAACCAACAAGTAGTTGACCTGCAATAGCACCTATGGTAGTTATTGATCCATTCCTATTTTCGTATGAAAAAGCTACTCTTCTTGAAATCATATTCCACTTCTTTATCGTTCCGTCGTATCCTGCGGAGAATAAAGTAAACCCGTCACTGAAACTTAGCGAAGTCACGACGTCAGAGTGACCTTGGTATACTTCTAGAATGTTAAGCGAATTCATATCCCGAACTCTGATCCTGGAATCTTTAAACCCACCAAACAGCCTGACATTATCTGTTGCTAGAGTCAAACATTCAAAACTTTCACGGAATGCAGCCAACACTTCATATGTTGAAACCGAGTACAAGTCCATCCCATATGCGGCGGCTACGTAGAGATTGTTTCCAAAAATTAGGATATCGTTAACGTTTCCTGTGAGTCTGAAATTCCGAACATCATCCCTTGTGTTAAGATCCCATGTAATGATGTACTTATCATCGCTCGCAGATAGCAAAAGATTGTCGACAAGCCTAACGGAATTAACAGTCAAAGTATGGCCTCCAAAGACATGAATAATTTCAGCAGAAGATACATTAAATTGAAAAATCAACGTATCTGTACCACCAGTAATTAAGAAATCATTATTAACGAGGAGAGAAGCAATTGATCGTAGATGGCCATTGTATAACAACATGGGCTTGAAATCAATCAAATCCCATTTGTATGCAATAGAGCTGGAACCACCAAAGTAAACATAATCTTCATAGACAACCATGCAGTACAAGTGATATCCGTCAACATTGATTCTTCTCAGAGGCTCAAACCCATTAGAGGCCGAGTCCCACATGGTCAAAAAAGACCCTGAGCCAGCACTTACTATATAATTTTTCCAAAATACCAAAGCGTTTAGTCTTTTTGCTGTACCTGAGTAAGTTGCTAATTGTTCTCCGCTGGAATCATTGAAAGCTGCAACAAAGCCATTAGAATTACCAAAGAGCATAACATCATCCTTGAAATCAAAACATTGAATAAAAAATGCATCTGGAATAATGTATTTCATTACGCCCTTTCCTGTCTCAATATCCCATTTAGTCACAATATCATTCCTATCAGAGGAATATAGAAAGCCTCTATATGAATGCAATTTATCAACAGGAACATCAAGATCTCCAAAATCTTTTAAGTACAGCCCGGTGTCGGCATCCCATTGAATGAACATACCGTCACCTGATGCAGAGAAAAGATAATTACGAACAGTCGCCAAAGTTAAGCAGGGGCTAAGGTGCCCTGAGAATGAACCTAATGAAGCTCCTGAACTTATCAGAAATTTCCTAAGTAATGGAGTTGTTCTGACACAAGCAAACATGAAATCGCCGTACGCTGTGATGCAAGTGACTTGATTAGGAAATCGAGCCAGAACCGTCACTCGATTTGAAGTCACATCAATTCTCCTAACATTGCCATCCAGGCCACTGGTAAACGCAACATCATTCAGAACGATTAAGCCACTGAGTAGAATTTCAGCTGATCCTAAGTAGAATCGCTTCAACACTGAACCTGTTTCAAGATCCCACAATATCACAAAGTTGCCATAACAGCCTGATATCATTATAGGATTATTCAGTACGAGCAAAGATTGAATAGAATTAGGATGTGCCCTTAAAGTTCTCTCAATTCGTCCTGTTTCGATATTCTTTTGGACAATATCAGTGGAGTAGCTGTACAAAAAGGATTCTTTGTATACTCCGACGGATCTTACAGCATCCACACTATCCTGTAACAAGAATGTTTTCGAATGATCAAAACCATGACTGATATAGCAAAGTAGTGGCAACAAAATCAATGTAAGTTTCCACATTGATAAATGATCCTGGTAATGAAATTGTTTGCAATTTGCACTGATTTCTGGAATTGCCAAGTTATTTCATCTCTCATGGAAACTTTGAAGTCCAAGATTGTGTTGTATCCCACGTGTTGAATGCTACACCTTGATCGGAGTTTTGAGGTTACAGAATGCTACCACGTGCCGAGAGGCATTCAAGAGACAGAAAAGTTCAAAAAGGATTCATTTATCAATTATGATATTGCACGATAATTGCACTACTCGCGTATTTCTGTGCTTGGTTTTGGTTGTTTCAACAGCATTTGCAACACGCAACGTTTTTGCAGGTGATGGTGATCGTGGATATGAATTGGTACGCCCTGGAATTGGTTCTCTGTGTCAAGCTATTAAGGACTCGTGCCCTGCTGAGTTTAAACAAAAGGTTTTCAGGGATTTGTTTCAGGATAGATCTCTAGAAAATTCATGGCCCCACGAGAATGGGTATGATGGTTTCCTCTCAAGAAGTTTGGAATATTTTTTCATTGGTCACAACAATTCTCGCGTCGATTCTTGCCTTGAAAGTGTTGCCGCGTATTGTGAAGCTGGTGGCGTTTATGGTATAGCTCCTGATTACATTTTGAGGCTTGAGTTGGTTGGTGCAGAAACTATGAGATTCTTTCGGAAAAAATCAGTTGCAAATTTGGCCAAGGCATGTCCAGTGAAGTTGAGGGGCCGTCTTGCGCACTTCCGAAGTATTACTGACGAAATGGACAGAAATGAATTCCTGGAAAATGTTCAGGCTGTTCAATTGACTTTAGAAAAATTTCCTCAACTTGATGTTGCAAAATTAAAGAAAGTCACTGACCTTCACCTTATTGTTAAGGAAGAGTATACTTTGGAGCATTATGATGAAGTCCGTAGAATGATCAATATGGCAAACTTGAAGTCGATCAAGTTTTCGGTTGTTGTCGACTTGTATGCGACTGGTACGATGATTACTGGTCCCCCGCTGCTCCTGGCTGATGCTAAAAATCTTGAGAGTTTTGAATTTACTTACAGGGCTAGTGAATCTATGGAAACGTTAATTGATGCATTTCCGTCGAATTTGAAACAGATTCTGTTTCAAACGCAAGACTTGAGAGCAGAAGAGCTAAACTCCTTGAATGATTTCTTGAACAGATCATCCACAACTTTAGAGTCTTTGGCTTTACCTGGCAGCTTTAGATATTCTAATTATCCAACACTCCCAAAAACTTTGAAGAGCTTGACCCTTCTTGACTCTTTTGATGGCATTAAATTCAAGTTGCTAAACCAATTGAGTGAAATGACAAGTTTAGAAAAATTGGACGCTCGTGGTTCGCTGTTTAACTATAATTTCTACAGCATTGTTCCTAACACAGTCAAGAAGTTGGAAATTCGCGACAACAGTCCAGGATTTAATTTCAGGCAACTAGGTCATTTGCTCAAACAAATTGATTCTCTTACTTTGCGCCATATGCTTTTGTCTAATCCTAAATTATTCTTGGAGGCTGTGTTTGAGCACAAGAATATTAAACATCTTGCTTTCAAAGACTGTCACATTCCAAGTTATGACTTTATTATGAAGCAAGATTCAGCTATCGAGACTTTGGTAATTGAGAATAGCGAAAATCATGTTGTGATGCAGGACGGTAATTTTCTAGTGTTACAGGACACTTTGAACAAGATGCCAAGATTAGAAAAGTTTTCAATGATCAGATACAAAACTAATGCCAACTGGAACCTCATGCCAAGAATTATCGGATCTCTCGTGGAAAAGCAAGATCTCAAACTGGTGGATATTTACCAAGTTTGTCGCTTCAACAATGGAAAGTATGCATCGATGTTTGATCGCGAACTTGAGCAGCTTTCGAGAGCCAGAAAGGACATGATGATCGTTGGCCACTGAAAATGGAGCGATGGCCGGGTCATTTGGCTCTTAGATTTAAACCCAAAGACTTTTAATCGAGTACAATCGTGACAAAATAGATTTCAATCTCAGAAATACTACTTCTGTTTTCTTTGATCATTTCGAATGATATGGTTCTTTGGTGTAGTGGTCATCACATCGCTTTCACATTTTATATGTACACAGCGAAGGCCCCCGGTTCGAACCCGGGAAGGACCACGTTAGTTTTTGTTCCAACTGTCTTTCCTTTTTGCTTGTCATGACAGTTGAGAACAAGGAAGCTGGCGCGAATAATTTCGGGACAAGATATCTCAAAGATTCTGCGGACGTGTTCAACCATAACGCATGGGATCATGTAGAAATGACCTCTGAACAGGAGCAAGCTGCAATTGATAGAATAAATCAACAGAAGGAATTAGCATCTGATAAAGAAGCTCCAGATTCGCGTGTTAACTGGAATGATTTCTACAGTAAACACGAAAACAAATTCTTTAAAGATCGTAACTGGTTTGGCAATGAATTTCCAGAGTTGTTGGAGGCACAAGTTGTCGTGGAATGTGGTTGTGGTGCTGGAAATTCTGTGTATCCTATTGTGCAAAGTAATGATAAACTTTCAAAGGTTATTGCTTTGGATGTTAGTGATGTTGCTGTAGATTTAGTTAAAAGTCACCCAGAGTACGATGCTTCAAAGATCACAGCTGTTCAGTATGACCTCACTTCAACTGAATCTGATATTCCGATGGTTGATCGAGATGGAAACTTACAACAAGCTTTCGAGGAGAACTCAGTTGACGCTATTCTCGCTGTGTTTGTGCTAAGTGCTGTCGAACCACATGCCCTTTCTCGTGTAATGAAAAAGTTTCACAAATGGTTAAAGCCTGGTGGTATGCTGCTCATCAGAGATTATGGTAGATTTGATATGGCTCAGTTGCGTTTCAAACCTGAAAGACTAATCAATAAGGATAATGAAGTCTATATTCGCGGTGATAATACTCTAGTTCACTTCTTTACTCTGGAAGAGATGGAATCATTGGCAACTGCTGATGATCAGTTTGAAATTGTTCAGAGTGGCTACGATAGAAGGCTGATTGTTAACAGATTAGAGAAGAAGAAGATGCACCGTGTCTGGGTTCAGTGCAAATTCCGTCGTCGATGAGTTTGTCGCTAATAAACTATTTGACTTGTTTCAGCGTTCTAAATGAAGACCAAATCAGACGAATATCCTCTGCCTGCCGGTTGGAAAAAAGCACACTCCAAAGTGCATGGAGGCAAAGCATACTTCATTAACGAAGCTACAAAGGAGACTCAGTGGTTTGACCCAAGAGATGTTCATTGGAAAAAGAAGACATGGGAAGAATGTGGACCTGATGAAGTCCCATTCGGATGGGAAGGTTTGAGTGATATTAGTGCGATCTTATTCCTTCTTGTGTAGTTTCTGATGATCCCCTCATTGGCAGATACTTCATTGATCACATCAATAAGCGAAACGTTATTGATGATCCTCGTAGTGCAAAGCCAAAGGAACAATTGAAAGCTGTTCAGGAGATCATTCAAAAGACGTCTCAGGAAGTCGATCACAAGACAAAGACACTTAAGTTGAAGAAGGAAGAAATGAAGAAATTGAAGGAGGCTTTGGCTGCTTCTAATCCGACTGTTCAAGAATCTAAACATGAAGAAGCTGCTCCAGCACCATCTGCTGCACCTGCCACCGTTTCAACTGCACCAAAATTGGAATCTCTTGAAGAAGAAGTCCAGAACTTGGAAGAGTATTTGCAATCAACCTCTGAGAAGTTGAACGAGATGAAGACTGTTGTCACCACATTGGAGAGTGATGATAATGATCAATTGGCGCGTCAGAAGCAGGTTCAAGATGAAATAGCTGAAGTCACAAGACAATTGGATGAAGAATCCAGAAAGAGAGTCAAGGTTCAAGAAGAATTGAACAGTATGCAGAAAACTTACTTGATTGCCAAGCAGAATCCTAATGTTGAGCAGTTGAAGAAGATCACTGAAAAGGCAGAACAGGCCATTAATATTGCAGATCAAGTATCAACCACTGATGATGCCTCAAGTAAGAATAATTCTGCCACTTCAACGGTTGCAGCTCAATTAGCTGAAACCAAGAACATGACGAGAGTTGAGCGAGAAATGGAGTTATTGAACTTGAGAAAGCAATTGGAAATTGAGAAGGGCGAGTTGAAGAGATTGAGGGATATCGCAGAAGAGGCGAAATCTGAAGTTGCAAGAGCTTTGGAAATGGCTTCTCAAGGACCAGCTCAGGTTTCTGCTACTGGTAAGCATTTGGTTCCTACTTGGGTCAAGTTACTGAATGAGAACACGAAACGTTCTGATACTATCAGAGTTAAAGCTAAACAGAAAGCCAAGGACGCAATTGAAGCCGGTGAAGTTATGAATTTTAAGGATAAGCTCCTTTTCTTCACTTCAAGTCCTTTGGAGCAAGGAAAGTTGAACAAATAGAAATGATGAATCTCTATGTTCTATCGATCTTTATTAGAGAGCTACTTCTTTTCTTGAAGTATTATCCATCTACCAAACAGATGAAGGGTCGTTTATCTTTTGGCATGGAACCAGTGATTTTCCCAGTTGTTGCGCGATCTGTTCTACATGTGGTCGGAAATATGAAACTTTTTGATAAACTGCAGCTACAGCACGTTTTTCACCATTGCTTAGAACTTCTTGTCTTGCGCAACCAATCCCAAAACTGACAATTCCAACCAAAGTCTGAGATTTTCCATCATCTGTGAATAGCGGTCCTCCAGAATCACCAGCGCATGTATCAGAAGCAAAATCTGCACCAACAACGCACAACACTGAGTTCCTATCTAAATCGTTCAAATGTTTTTCGCATCGTGACATTCTGGTCATGAACATAGGAGCTCGAACTAAAATAGGAAATGGAGTTTTGTCGCTTTCACTTCGCGCACCCCAACCAGTAGCAAAGATGTTCGCGTTAACGGCATTTTCTGTCTCGACCTCATTCCTATCTAAAGCCTTTTGATACTTTTGTTCCGTAGAGCTGCCAGACTGAATATTTGCGTTTCTCACGGCCAACGAAGGCTGTCTAGTTGGAGAATATGATGTTCCCTGCATGCCTTTCAAAGGAATACCATTCTTACCAGCATCAGTGTCATCCAAAGTTATAAACTTCATCCTATTCAAGTTCTGTTCAAAACCAGCACGTGGACGAACTTCAATGACGGCGATATCGTTCTTGTATGTTTGCTGGACGTACTGAGGATGTGTGTTAACGTGCACAATATCAAAGTCCACACCACCTTCTTCCTCTGTAGACTTTGCTAGATCGTAACGGCCTCCAGATATTGTGAATTTTCTGTAAGTATTAGCATCCATGTTCTTGAAACAATGTGCTGCAGCCAAGATCAAATTCGGCGCAATATAAGAACCCCCACAGAAATGCTTTTGTTTAGAATCGCGAATGGAAACAAGCCATGGAAGTCTATCTGGGGCTTGTTCTCCGTTGATGATTCTCTTGTTCAAGTTGACAGGCAGTCCGGAGAATCCTTTTGGAACATTGATAAATTGGCCCAAACTCAGTTCCATGCATAACGCGACTAGAAAGATCTTCACGAACATTTGCCGTTGAATAGAGGAAATGAGTCGCACCAGCATTTAATTGTCTACAGCATTATTCCACTATCAGATAATGGCGGTTGATGGATGGGAGTATCTGATTGGCTGGTGCTAAGAGAGAGTTATGTACTAAAGCAAACAACCATACAATACCATGACTTTCTTATATATTAAGGTAAATCAGGTCTTTTTCTATTCTCTGGAGTATACCGGCGCGTTATATTTCATCCTGTGCTACTAGAAGTTACCCGGTTACATCAAGAATGATCAATCAATCTCTGTGCGTAAGATCTTATCAATAATATCTTGTTTCAACTTTAACACAGACATGATTTGGATTCTGCTTATAGTGAATTTCTACATTTATTTGGTAACGAGTGTTCCGGTGGAACTTGGCAAGAGAATGGAACACGGAATCGAAGCAGACAAATCTGTTTTCCCTTGGATAGCAACAATGCACAGGAATAGTAGCGAGAATGGCAACTTAACAAAATTTTGCACGGGATCTTTTCTGTCTCACGATCTCGTCTTGACTGCAGCTCATTGTATGAGATCAAACGGTGGCAGAATCTCTGTGATAAAAACTAACCAAGATCCGCCAGTTGAATATGAATACATTGATGGAATACACCATTCGCATTTCATTCCATTAGAGATAAGTTCTGATGGTCGTGGTGATATCGCATTATTAAAAGTCAGAAAGAAGAACTCGAAAGACCCTAATATTCCTGTGTTTCCTAAATTCGCATCACATCAAGATTTACAATATTCTCTAGACAAAGTTACAAATCGTGGATATATAGCTCGCGACGCTACCTTGATGGCCGCAGGACACGGAAGAAATATTACGTCTGATGCTGATACTCCTGTTAAAGTGATGTCTGTGCTTGAAACAGATGCAAATACATGCGCTCAGTACCTCAAAAAGAATAACAGATACTTCAAAGATGCTGAGCAACAGGTTACATGCTTTGCGTCTTTGGATAATGTTTCTCGAAACTGCGAGGGTGACAGTGGTGGGCCGCTCTTTGAATACTACAATGATAATCCTGTCATAAGAGGTGTATTCACGTTCGCAGATCGAGACGGTCACTGTGCTGTAAGGTATAATTCAATGTATCCTTCCGTTGCTATGAATGTACGATACTACAGTTCATTTATTTTAGAGTCCATAAAGGAACTAAAAGAATAGAGTATTTATTTACTTAAGCGAAAACTCCGGCGTTAGGGCTTAAATTCTTTTCCACACGATCGTACTGCTCTTTCAGCAATCTTTCCATCTCTCTAACGTGTTCAACCGACATGTTCATATTTCTGATGAACTCTTCAGACAGCGGTTGAGGACGTGGTGGTAGCAAAGGGCCTTGGTTTGCTGTAGCATTTTTGACAGAAAGCAAACTTCTAAACCCTGAAACTTGAACAGTTGCAGATCTGGCATATCTGACACAGCGAGATTCCAAATCAAAAGTATCCGCCACTGTTCTTCCCTGAAATCCTGGTAATCCTGTTCCGCTTGTGAGAACAATGCCAAACCCATCAACACCACCAACTTGAAACTTTCTAGTGGAAACATCAACAGATTGCCAGTCGTCCCACAATTTGTCAAT